TGTTTGTTTGTTTGTTTGTTTGCAGAGGTTTGGGAGACTGGACCTGTGTTTTTGGCAACTTGCACAGTTGGAAAGGCAGGGCCTGGCAGGAGGGGAAGTGGAAGCTGCCAAGTGTTCCACAAAGCCAAACCACAGAAGCTTGGCTGCATTGAACCAACCTCAATGGTTTCCAAACTGTGTTGCAGGGATTCTGTGAGCTCCTTGGAAGCTTATAAGCTTATTCCTTGGTAAGAATAAGTGATGGCGCAGACAAGCTTTGTTAAAAGATGGATTGGCCATCGCCATTCATCTTCTACTACAGCATGCAGCCACAGGAGACAACGAAACTGGGTATGCACCCTGTGTTTCATGACTAATAGGACAAAGTAGAAAGATCTAGAAGGGCAAGCAGTTGGGGAAGGAGGCAGGATCCATTCCAACTCTACAATTCTATGATCTATATCTGTTCATCAGAGAGGGAAAACTTTGTGATGGTAATTGTTGCTACTGGTTTTAGTGATTTAATTTTTGTCTACTAATTGTATTTCATCATGCCTTCAGACATTGCAACTGTGGTCTCAGGGTGAAGGTTGAGATGTGAATTTTAACTGAAAATAAATAATATCATTGCAACATTTTGTGCCAATTTAACACTGCAGACCAATGGTTCAATAAGAAGTTCATCACGTCTCCCCAGGAACAAACATTTGAGTCTTGGCCCGCCTCATACAGAAAATGCCACTGTAATGAAATCTACTATATATGACAAAGCCATTTAACTCATGATTTAGTTCCTGTCATTCCAGGAAAATGAAGCAAGTGCCATGAAGCATCCAACAAAATTAGGATAGAACAGGGAAGCACCATGTCTTCAATCCTTTCTATTCAGTGAATTCCAATCTATTTTTTAAAAAGTATTTTGACTTATGGAACTTTTTCATTAATGTATCATGTAAGTGTTGCAGCAAATGCTCAAGATGTGAAACTTGCAATGACTACATGGGAATGGAATCTCTTAAAAGAGACTCTGTTCATTGTCTCTTGCTGCTCCTCATTGCTGGGGTCTACCTCTCTACTTCTCTTCAAGCCCCAGCTCAGAAATCCCTGCTGTTTTTATGCAAAGCTTTTGCCTTAACCTCTGAGCCCCCACCCCTAACTGAAACAAGCCTCTGTGCATGTGAACTACATCCTCTCTCTTTCCCCTTCTTCGGCCTCTGTCTTCACCAACCCTTCGCCTGTCTAAACTGAGATTGTACTCTCCTCTTTTCCTTATGCTCCTAACGAAACAACATGTGTATACTGGTGTGACCACATGCAAATATATGCCTAAAATAAATTCTATGGTTTGGAACCCTCTAGCACTGAGTTTTGCTGTTGGTCTGCTGGCATGAGGCAACCCCTTCTTGGGAGGGCAGGAGGAAAACAGAGCAATGGTTAGGCAGGAGAAATGATCTTCATATGACCCTTTTCCTCCCCACCAGAGGCAATCAGAGAGGACTAGTTCACTCCAGGCCCTGTACTGAAGGAGCTTCCTGTCACATTGTGGGTACAACCACTCAGTTGGAGGGGTAAGAAATTGGTGCAGAAACAGAGGCGCATAAGAGTAACTTGGGGTATTATCGCAAGTCAGGCCATTTGTTCACCTAAGTAGGTATTGTCTGCAATGACAGGCAGCAGCTTCCCAAGGGTTTAGACAGCCATGCCCAGAGAAGGCGGGGATTGAACCTAGGACTTTCTGCATGCAAGCAGATGCTCTGCTAATGTGCCACAGTCCTTTCCTGCACTTCCAGGTAGACCAGTGTGGTGTAGTGGTTAAGAGCGGTGGACTTGTAATTTGGTGATCCGGGTTCGCGTCCCCACTCCTCCACATGCAGCTGCTGGGTGACTTTGGGCTAGCCGCACTTCTTTGAAGTCTCTCAGTCCCACTCACCTCACAGAGTGTTTATTGTGGGGGAGGAAGGGAAAAGAGAATGTTAGCCGCTTTGAGACTCCTTCTTAAAGGAGTCTCTTCTTCTTCTCTTCTTCTTCCCGCATGCCACACAGAACACACCCTGTTCTGGGTTGCTTTACCAACTGGCATTCCAGGTAATGGTTCTACTGGTGGACATCTCACTCCACCACGGTGGTTCCCATCCCACTGGTGGAGGAGCACTTCCACCATTTTTAAAGGCTGAAGATCTCAGGACTGGGGTTGTACCCTAAAACTGGCAACTTCATCTACTTCTGCTGAATGCCCCCAAATGCAAATATGGATACGCACCAAAACACCTAAAACTCAAGACTCACTTAACTCCCCAACTATGTTATGACAATATGCACCAGCCATTGTGTGAGAACACAGGAAGAGTCCTGCTGGATCAGGCCAGTGGTGGATCTAGTCTAGCTTCCTGTTCTCAGAGTGGCCAAAGAGATGTTTATGGGAAGCCTGCACAACAGCACTTGCCGAACGGAGCCAAAATCCCCCAGGAAACACATTTTTTGAAACAATTTCTGAGGACTTTCGTGTTTCATTTTTCCTCTGCAGGAAAGAGGACCACATTGCAGAATATTCTTTTATTATTATTCATGTTTTCGATGGTTGGTGATCTGTGGTGGATGCAAAATGGCAGTCAGGATTCCAATACAGCTGCTGCTACAGCAGCGGTAATATCCTTAGGGAGGTGGGGAATGAAGAAGCTGTATCACTTCCACTGATGATGTACAATCCTGCCCCCAATAAACTGTAAAAAGAATTTCTCCATCTCATTCTGAGAATAGCTGGTGAAATGGGGGTGGGTGGGCATTTTCTGCCTGCAAATAACACAGTGAGTTTGGAAAGGCCCCCTCCTTTTTTGCTCTGCTGTAGGAAATGCTGTGGATTTTGAATATAGACTGAGAAATGTAGAAAATGCACCTAGACAGCTACTCCTTAGATTGGTTGCAATTTAACAGCTCAAGGATCCTTTTGTTGTCTGGAAGGGTGCTGAAGGAATGTAACAAGTAACCTGATTTCACACTCCTTTGGCTTAATGGGGCAGCGGCCAATTTGACAGCCAGCTATAGGGACTGCATTTGCAAGCATGTTTGTAGATACAATATTGATCTCCCCGCTCACTTAGAGCTTGTCCTGGGCTGGGCTGGCTTGCGATAAACAAGCCTGCAAGAGCCCACATGGCTGTGAAGCAGGAATACATTATTTAACAGGAGCTAATCAATATAAAACGAGCATTCCCTTTGTTACAGGAGGCGCTATTGACAGAATGCTTCTTCCGTTTAATTTTTTATTATTTAGCATTGATTGCTGAAACTCAGTGCTGGGTGTTGCTGTACTTCCATCAGCCCCTGTGAGCCAAGCCAGACCTGACCAGAAATCTAACTTCACAAACACATGAACACAAATTGCCTGCGCTCGCTCGCTCGCTCTCTCTCTCTCAAAAAAAGCATCATCTTGAAGAGGGCACATTCATGCAGGCGTCAAAATTAATAGGGTTTTGGCTGTTGACCTCATGGAAACCCCAATTTACTCCAATTACGAATACCTCCTGAAAGACAAATCCATATAGATAGATAGATAGATAGATAGATAGATAGATAGATAGATATATAAAAAAACTTTGGTGGTTTCTGAAATGAAGGAGGCATTCTTGGAGTACGCATGCAGATAGATAAACATATAGATAAGACTACTGGAATGAAGTTCCACCACTTGCCTAGGGAGAGTGGAAGATCAGACAATATTGGGGAAGCACATTGGACCATAGGACCCAATACTGAGTCAGACCCTTGGTGCATCTAGCTCAGTTTTTTTCTATACTGAATGGAATTGACCCTCCAGAGTTTCATTCAAGGCTGTCTCCTAGCCCTTCTTCTCTTTTCTCTTTGGCGATCACACGTAGCCAAGGTTGTCTTTCATAAACACGGTTTTAACAATGAGTCTGCAAGTGACTGTAGAGGCCAATTCTGGATCCACACGTCCTTCCACAGTGGGGACATAGGTTTCTGGGCAGGAGTTGATCACAATGTGGATTTGCCAAGCGTGCCTTCCTCTTAGCATGTTTCTCTCTTGTGTCCTGAGTTTGAGAGTCTTCAAAGCCCATGACACCTTTGGTAAAGGCTGTTCTCCAATTGGAGCACTCACAGGCCAGTGTTTCCCAGTTGTCAGTGTTTATACTACATTTTTAAAGATTTGTCTTGAGAGAGTCTTTAAACCTCTTTTGTTGACCACCAGCATGACGCTTTCTGTTTTTAAGTTCAGAATAGAGTAGTTGCTTTGGAAGACGATAATCAGGCATCCGCACATCATGACCAGTTTAACGAAGTTGATGGTGAAGAATCATTGCTTCAACACTTCCAGTACACTGGCATTAGTTCACCTGTCTTCCCAAGTGATGTTTATTTTTTTTCTTTCAGAGACTGCTTGGAAATTGTTATTACAGACAACTTCCAATTCACACACATCCCAGTGAAGAGGCTGGGAATGGAACCCCCTGTATTTATTAAATTTGTATACCATGCTTCATCTATAAATCTCAGGGTGGTTCACAACATAGAACACAATACAGACACACAAAATGCATGACAAGAAGAATAAACACAAACAGTAAACCTCCCTCCTCTCAAGGCCAGAAGATGCCAAGGACTGAACCCACTACCATTTCCATGCAAAGAAAGCGCTCTGCCAATGAACCCAGGTGCCCCCCTCAAAAAAGAAAAGAAAAAAAGACTGCTCCCATTTACTTTTTAGGGTTCAGATGGTTATTCCAGCTGCCTGGAGGGTTGAGGATGCCTTTTCTGTACTAAGCATGCTTGGAACAAGCACCCACCAGGAAGGGATCGATGCGGAGCTCATTGCACAGCAAGTGAACTTCAGGCTGGCTTTCTCTGAAGTTCTGTCTCTTCATCTTTGCTTTCATTTAAGAAGGTTGGAAGATGCCTTATACAGAGTCAGACCATCGGTCCAGCTTGCTCAGTATCATCTACCCTGGCAGGCAGTGGTTCTCCAGGGTTTCAGGTAGGATTCAAGAGTCTTCCCCAGTCTTACCTTGAGATGCTGGGAATTGAACCTGGGACCTTCTGCATGCAGAGCAGAGGCTCTACCACCAAGCTGCCACCCTTCCCTTCCCGAAACTTTTCCCTCTCCATATGGCCTCTCACACCGAGGCAAAGGGCACTGTGTAAGGCAGCAGCTCAATAACTGCCCATCTCTATCGCTCCTCACTTCCACTGATACAAATCGCTCTACGTGCATTTGACACTGCACAGTCCAGAATTTGCTCTTAGAGGCCAATCTAGGAAAATCTTGTGCAGTGCCTTGCTTCAGATTCTGAATATTGTTCACAAGCATGGGCCAGGAGGCAAAGCTTTCTCTGGGAAAATAGGCTTCAAAAAACACTGGGAGTGGCCCGCAGGTAGATGAAGGCTGGAACTGGTGTATGGTGCATGAAGATTTTTTAAAGTTTTGGTTGGGGGGGGGGATTTGCTTCAAGTGAAGGCAGGGCTCCATTTGCTCTCGATTTCAGGTAGCAAAATGTCACATCAGTGTTGTGTAAAGAGCACAAATCAGGTATCTGTGGGATGGTTGGACTTTTCTGTAGCCTTGAGATACCACTCAGATGCCTATCATGAATAGAAATTACTTGGGGAGAGGTACAAAGTATCTTTGCCCTGTATATTATAAGCAATATATTTGAATTCTTTACTAATGGAAAGGAAAGGGCATTGTTCATCAAATTCCGTACTTACTACGGGAGCTGGCTTTAAAAATACTGGCAGTAAGGACTAGAAATGGGGGTGGGAATACTTGATTTGGCAATGTTTCCAGTGTCTTTTAAAAAAACTTTTTGCACATGATATAGATCTATGGAGAACACATGCACACACAACTCAAAAATATCATGTCTCTCTCTCCTAATGATTTTCCAGCTAGAATTTCTCTGCTCCAGCTTAATGCATTGGCAGTGCCAAGACTTTGGAGGTAGCCTCGCATTAATCAAAACAGGAGAGACCTCCCTTCTGCTTTCAAAAGCCCAGACTGTAGTTGTCTGTCCACCCCATTACAAATTTTCAGCAGATTGCTTAGTTTATTTTTGGAAGAGCAGAGCGAAATTGAACTGTGGCTTCCCTTCAGGGAAAAGGTGACTCACAAGTAGGAATAGGGATGAAATTCAATTCAGTTCACATCGAAAGGGAAACTTACCTAATTGGCAGTTTCCGAAACAAATGTGAACCAAAACACAGGTATCCTTCAAAATTCTCACTTCTCCAGATTTTCCCCAGACAGGTGAGCCAGGGTGGTCTGGCAGTGAGAGTGTCAAATCCCCCATCAGCTGTGAGGATGCTCACCTTGAGCCAGTCACTGCTTCTCAGCCTAGCCTACCTCAAAGGGTTGTTGTTGTTGGGATCAAATGAAGAACCCTGTATGCCACCTTGAGCTCCTTAGAGAAAAGGGTGGGGTGTAATCAGACAGACAGGCATGATGAATACAAAAATGCATATAGTCAGGTAAAGTGTGCAGAAAAAATACATACAGTGGACGCTCGGGTTGCGAACGTGATCCATGCGGGAAGCATGTTCGCAACCCTCAGTGTTCGCAACACTCAGCGCCGCGTCTGCACACGCACAGGTCATGATTCGGCACTTCTGCGCATGCACAAAGCACGATTTAGCTCTTCTGCACATGCACTAGCACTGAAACCCGGAAGTCACCCATTCCAGTACTTCTGAATTCGGCGCGGTATGCATCCCAAAAACGTTCAACCTGAAGCATCTGTAACCCAAGGTATGACTGTAATTAGTGAGAATAACATCCAGAAATGCATCATATTAATGAAAATGGCAAGCAAAATGTGTGAATTTGAAGAAATTTGCACTAAATTGCGGATGAACATTCATGAGAACTTTTTATTAGAATAATGTAAACTAGTGTGGAGAACTGAATTTACTATTGGAAAAATGAGCAACTGAGAGAGAGAGAAAATCGACAGATTCATCCATCTTTACTCACAAGCAGTGGCATACTATTTGGAGGGGTCACAGGAGTGGTTGCCCCAGGTGCAAAATTGTTAGTTGGTGCAAAGTTTCAAGACTCGGTGCTGCCTCAATATAGCTGTGTGCTTCCATCGGTGGGCTCCACTGAAAATGGCTTCTCTATCTGAACCAGGAAGCGACCTCTCCAGACCAAAGAATGATTATTCTTTTCTTATCTCTGGGTGACGCAGACGTTGTTGGGTAGTTGAATGTTCATGCATACTCTATCTGATTCCCTCCCATCCACCACCACCCCACGCAGCCCCAGGCAACCCACACTATACCACTGCTCAGAAGTGGACTTTCTGCTGATCAATGCAAAATCTTCGGTGCAGGACACAACTACAACATCCCTGACATATGACAATTCTGTTTTTAATATTTTATTTTAAATTACTTTAACTCACCCTGGGATTATAGGGTGAAGGGCAGGTAATGAATAACAACAACAGCTAAATTATATGTCTGGGTAAACTTGCAGAATTTTTTTTCAAAAAGTTTCAAGCAGGTATTGAGGGTCCCTGCCTAATATCAATAGACAAGGAGTTCCAACGTGATGTGGCACTTGCAAAAGTTCAAGTTCCACAGATTGAAGCGGCTGAGTAGACTCAAATAGGGCAAAGCAATCCTTGATATGGGCAAGGTGCTTTCAGCCCTATGCTCAACCAGCTATCCATGCAGAATGTCTCATGTCCAGCCCCTGGGCTTCCCAGTTAAAAGGGCATAGAAGCCACTGATGACAAAGAGCCTTTCTGCCCGAGATCCTGGAAAGAAATTTCCATCAAAGTAGACAAAGCTAGGCTAAATGCACCAATATTCAGAGGTGGCATATGGCTGCTTCCTGTGGAACCACTATCGGCATTTTAAGAAGGCTGTTTCCAAAGGGAAAAATAAGAGCAATCCCTTACTGGGGACAGGAAAACAGGGCCTGTCCCTGGCAAATAAAGAAAGTCACTGTGTACAATATCTTCTTGGACGTGATGATTTAAAGATGAACAGACCATGTTAACATTGCAACAACACATGGCCAGGAATGTTGAGATTGATAGTTTCTTCAAAAATTAAAAGTATTTTAAGAGCTATTTGGTTAACAAAATAGATCGCGTTACCCACCCAACCTCAAGGACTTGGCTTCGTCTCCCTAAACCACTGCTGTTAAATTATATGTTGTACACGGCACTTATGATGGACGTGGCTAAGCTACGGTGGCCAATCCGTTATAGTGGACAAAAACAGATCTCTCCAACCAAGTTTATTAAATTCAAGACATTCCTATAAGAGACAGAAAGTTTGACCACATAAGAACATGGCTTGGCTTTTTCACTGCGGAGCACTAGTGGCCTTTTAGAGGGAAAAGATGGTCAGGAAACTTACAGAAATATCATTTTTAAAAATATGCTCTCCATCATAGCCAAGCCTAAACAGAGCTGAAATAGGTGGTTAAACCATATAAGCCTAGTTAGTCTGCCTAACACACACAGCCGCATACCAGGTTTAAAAGGAGCTCCTTGCAAATTTCAGTGACTGCTTCCACAACAGAGAAAGAAAACAGCAACCAAGGCTCAGAGAAGTGCCTATATCATAGCTGTCAAGTGTCCCTTATTTGAAGGGACAGTCCCTTATTCCAGCGCCATGTCCCGCTGCTGTCCCTTATTGATGGATGTCCCTTAAATGTCCCTTAAATGATGTCCCTTAAATGATGTCCCTTAAATTTCAAAGGAAGCAGCTCCTCTCCCTCCCTCCCTCCTGGCCAGGGAGGAGGGAGGCTCCAACTGTGTTGCTTGGCTGTGTTGCTCACCCAATAAGAAGTCTAAGAATGACTGGGGGGGGTGGAGCTTGCATGCCTTGTGTGTGGCTAGTTAATGCAAGCTGAGAGGTTTTTTGAATACTGGACACCATTTTGTTGCACGTGCTACTGCAAACTTTGCAGTGCAAAGTCAGGCTGGGGAGCCATCTTAAGTTGAGGCTGCATAGGCCTTGTGGTGCATGTGATTCAGATTCTATTCAGTTGAACCTCTGGTTACAAAGTTGGTTGGACAGTGTTCTCGAAGCTACCAGCATGAGTTTGACCAGACTGCAGGAGGACAGGAAGACTGGAGTGCCTGGAACAGGTGAGGCTGCAGGTCCCTTATTTTGGCTGCTGGTCCCTTATTTTCAAAGCTGCTGGTCCCTTATTTTCAAGGCTGCTGGTCCCTTATTTTCAAATCTGTAAGTTGACAGCTATGGCCTATATTCCATCAAGGGCTATTGATAAATGCTTCCTTAAAAAAATAATAATTTCTGCAGCGGAATGCCAGTGTCATCATATACTAGTTCATGCAACCAACAAGTCCCACCATCATAAGTACTTTTTCATTGGTTAGTGATAAAGTAGGGTATCAAATCCAAACTCCTCCTCCTCCTCCTCCTCTTCTTCTTCTTCTTCTTCTTCTTCTTCTTCTTCTTCTTCCCATAAGGCTGGGTGTGGAACTGGATCCAACCGGTGAGCCACGTTGACAGGTGTACAGGGCCACTCACCTCTCAATCTCCTGATATCAGGTGATTGGACTTCAAAGGAAAGAACTCTAAGACAGGAAACAGGCTGAGCGTTCTTTCATTGACCCTAACCAAGCTGAAATGTCTGTAGAACTCCTGTTTGCTTCCTTACCTTTGCATCTAGCTTAAAGGGAAAGGAGACATGCCCCCATGAACTGCAGAGAGAATTAGACGGAAAGTCTTTCTTCCCCCATATAGCCCCAGAAATCAATATAAGCTTGAATATGTATCCTAATATCTCATCCTCATTGGCAAAAGACATTTATAACGCCAGCCTTTCTGCTCTTGCTGAAAAAAATAAGAATATACCACTGGTTTATAAATATATGACCTGGGAGAGTTTTGCCAAGATTCCTTTGGGAACCAGGAACGCTGGAAATAACATTGGACAATATTTCCAGCACAATTTTCAGTTTGTGCTTCAAACCTGTAGTCAACCCATATGCTTTTGTTCCATAATTTATGGAGTTCAGAACTCGTGGATAACATAAAACACTGAGAGAAAGAAGAAGGGGGAAAGTGGTATGGGAAGATCTGGCGAGGAGTAAA